TGCAGGAAGAGAAGAACAGCTCTCCTCTGCCACACATTCCCACCACGTCATATTCTTTCCAAGTGCTGGGACCAAGCAACCATGGACTGAATCCTCTGAAATCATCAATTAAAAAGAACTCTTCCTACCTTAAGCTGTTTTCTTTTAACCTAACAATTGAATTAGAAAGTGGATAAAAGACACCACAGACTGAAGCAAAGGAGAATATACACATGACAGAGAAACACATAAATGATAGTAATAATCATTAGCCTAGATGGATTAGTTTCCCTCAGTTCTTTACACATGAAGAGGGGCTGGAGGGGCAGCATGCTCACACAGCATGCACGAGAGCTGACATTTGTTTCCCGCACCCTAAAAACAAAACACCCTAAGAAATGTCATTCTCCACCCACTAGAACAGCTAAATAATGACAACACCTAAAACAGATGACAAAACAGAGAAGGTGAGCACATATACATTTCTGAAAAGAAAGTAAAACGGGCCATTCGAGATAGCTCAGTGAGTGAAGGCAGTCATGGCCATGCCTGACAACCACACAGCAGCAGGAGAGAACTGACTTCAGCACTCTCTCCATCTCCACACATGTGCAGTGGCATGATACTTGCGTGCACACACACCCACACACACCAACACCCAATAATTACAAAATAAATTTAAATTTAAACACTATTGATTGGCAGGAATCAGAGGGAGAAATGGAAAATATGATCAAAATACATTGTATGCATAAATGAAATCCTCAAAAATAAAAATATTATAAACTATAACAATCTATTTTTTAAAAAAAGTAAAAATGGGGTCTGGGGAGATTGCTCAATGGTTAAGAGTACTTGCTGTGCAAACATGAGGACCTGAGTTCAAATCCACAGAATCTAAAATATCTGGTGTAATTACATGACCCAGTAACCCAGCAGTGTGATGGGGGTGAGGGGCAGAGAAAGGAAACTTTCTGGAGTTTGCTCCTCATCAGCCTAGCTCCAGTTTCAGTAAGACAGCATACCTCAGGAAATAAAGCAGAGTGATGGAGAAGGATATCTGGCTTCCTCCTGTGGCTTCTGTATGCACCTGCACATGTGCAAACATTAAACACACAAACAACACACACACACACACAACTCATAAACACATGCATACGCACACACACAGTTTTTAAGAAAATAAAATGATACAACCATTTTGAAAATCAGTTTACTAATTGCATATAAAATTAAAATGTAATTACAAAATGACCTCAAAGGAAAACTCTTCAAGCATTTATCTCATAGTAATAAGGACTCATCTTCACACACAACTTACACGTATATATTCAGAGCATCTTTAGTCATAATAGCTCCAAACTGAAACAACCCAGACACCTTTCTGTAAGTCAATGTATAAACACTCTGGCATGTTTCAGAAATAAAAAGGAATACACTATTGTTATACACATAACCTGGATGAAACTCAGGGCAACTGTGATAAATAAAAAACAAAAAGGGAAAAAAAGCCAATTCTAAAGGATTACATACTGTATGTAGCCTTCATTTATATAGCTTTCCACAAATGACAAAGTTACAGAAACAGGAAAATAGGCTGTTGCCAGAAATCTTGACAGTACACAGAGGCATTATCTTGCAGGTGGAACTGCTCACCTGGTCACAACACCAGAATCCTGACTAGTGATGCTGTGATATTATTAGTAATGGAAACTAGGTAAACAGCAAATGGGATTCCTCTGCATTATTTCATCTATACAGTTTGTGTGGATGTACAGTTCTCAACATCTTTGTTTAAAATTTATCATCAAAGAGAAAATCACCAGGCAGACCTAAACAAGAGTTATCCAGCAAAGTTCAGAGCCAGTAGGGAAAATTGCTGCCTGAGTGGTTATAGCCCTGTGTAGAGAATCAGCTGAGATGGGTGGTGTGGGCCGGGCCAGGAGACTGAGAAAATGAAGGTCTGAGTAAATAAATAAGCACACTGGGGATAAGTGTAGGTTTCTCATTCTTGAAGAAGTGAATTATAAAAATGGGTAAAAACTAGAATGATAGCATAATATTGGATTGGACATGAAAGCAACAATGCCAACTTGAAGTTTTCGATATATATTATATATAATAATTATACACACACACAGAGGGTATAGCATTAATAATAAAATATAAAATGGTTATGCACATATTGTGTGTGTATATTCCTTAGCTTTGCCTGAGGTGCTTGGGAACCTAGACATAGCAACTGCAGTGGGCATATCTAGGTTTTTTTGGTTGGGGGGACTTTGTTTTAAATTGTGTGTGTGTGTATGCAGTGTGTGTGCACGCACATGTAAGTGCAGGTGCCTACAGAGGCCCTACGGGGCATCAGATCCCTTTGAGCTGGAGTTTCAGGTCATTATGAGCCTACTGATATGACTGCTGGAAACTCAACTCACATCCTTTGGAAGAGCAGCAAGTGCTCTTAACTGCTGAGCCATCTCTCCCACACCAGATTTGGGTTTTTTTAAAGGGCCACTCCTCACTAAAATGAACCAGGACCTCTTGGAGAAACATCCACTTTCAAAGCTAGGGCAGAAATGGAAGATAATGAGCTAGAAGATCTTTCTGTGTCTCGGAAATGGTGGAGACAGCAAAAAGGGCTCTGAATGGTTGAATATAGAAAAGCTGAAACATCAAGACAAATGGGAAGACCAGATTCCATTGAACAAAATATGACTCCACACTGAAATAACTGAGCAAACAAAGAGGAAACTGTTCCTTACAGTAGAATGCCACTTAACAAACGCAGGTATCTATCCCAGTAACAACTCAGGAAGAAACATCAATAGGTGCTGTAACATTCCTGAGTCAAAGGTGATATGAACAGCATGTTACACAGCTTCAAAGCATCTTTCTATGAAATATTAACTATGGATAGGAAAGAATAATTTATAATGGGTAAATCTTGGCAGATATTTGCTTACTGATATGATCAAACTTAACGCTCCCAGTGAGAAAGCAAAATGACATCTTGGGTCACCTGAGGGCCACTTCTGTGAGGCTTCTAACAAAACTGCATAACTTCAGAGGTACCATTGCAGAGAGCAGAAAATCCAGACCCAGACACATGCTACATAATAACGCAGCCATGACGGTAAACAAACTAAGGTTCTAAGAAAAGGCCTAAGGTCCTTGACAGGGATTTAAAAATCATTACATTACGGTGAAAGCCTGAAATCAAGAACTTTAGAGAATGAGGCAGAAGGATCTTAAAGGCCAGCTTGAGAAACAGAGAGTTTGAAACCAGGCAAGGCTACATGCAAGACTTTTGTCTCAGGAAGGAAGGAAGGAAGGAAGGAAGGAAGGAAGGAAGGAAGGCCATTTTGCTATTAAAGGGTATTATGGTGATATATTGTTTATGATCTAATAAAGCTTGCATAAAGATCAGAGTGCAAAGCTAGCCACAGCCATAGAGGCCAGGCAGTGGTGGCATACACCTTTAATCTCAGCAGCCACACTAGTTAGCCATAGAAGCTGGGCGGTGGTAGTGCATGCCTTTAATCCCAGCACTAGAGAGGAATAGATTTGTCATCTCTCTAAGACCTCAGAAATTAAAATTAAAAGTGTCCACAAATGGCAGTTCCTCTAAAGTTTAGTTCCTCTAAAGCCAGACACACCAGACAGATGAAGGATCTGGGATTCAGCCATGTGGGAAACACTGTTTCTCTTGATATGAGAGAGGACCCTCCTTGTGTGGACAGATTCCAGTAAGAACACAATGAGCTGAGAGCTGATTGTTCCCAGCAAGCACTGAACGAAACAGTTGCAGTCAGAGCTTCCTCCCTTACTTTCCTATCATCTCATCCACACTATGGGGAGAAATCCTGTAAAGTCTATTATTCAACAGCAGTAAAATGAACTTGTACAGTTAGAAAATCCTGAAAGGTATTGCCAAGAAAATGCTCCACATCTCTCCTGCTATCACTTGTGATGGCAACAAGGCCCACGTTATGGCTGGGATCTTAAATGCCCCTTACATGCTCCTATGCTTAAAGCTTGGTCATCAGCCTGTAGTGCTATTGAAGGGTAGTGGAGCCTTTAAGGGGTGGGTTCTAGTGAAAGTTAGTCACTGTGTGCATGCCCTTAATTTCTGTCTATGCTCCAGTCCAGTGAGCAGTTCCCTCTGTTACATGTGTCATGGTATTTGGCCTCGCACAGGCTCAAATGGAATGGGCCAGCTGGCTATGGACTGAAACCTTTGAAACCATAAGCCAAATAACCATTTTCTCTCTTGAATTAACTAAAATTTTATTAATATCACAATCACTTCTGTTGGGTGGGTACAGAAGAAATATGCAGCCCACAGGACAATTTGCAGGAGTTGGGTTTCTCTTTATACCAGGTGGGTTCTGGGGTCAAATTCAGGTACTCAGGCCTGGTAGCAAGTGCCTTTATCCACTGAGCCATCATCTCACTGGCCCCTAAATTTTACAGCAATGGAAAGCTGCCTAACACAACTAGCAAGCCAGCATAGAATTATGTCATCCACTTCCTAGTTCAGAACTGCAAAAGGATAAGAAACAGATACAGCAATAGGAGTGTAAGTTATGGCATGCTTTCTTGCCTGGTTACCACAGAAAAATCCACACAAAAAAACAGGACAGAGTGGTTCCTAGGTACTTCTGAATATGCTTTGCAAGTGACTCTTGCATGTAACTGAAGGAAACAGACATAATGGCTGGTTCACAAGTAGGCGTTTGATGGTAGGAACAAACGTGTAATCTCAGTTTAAGATAATAATGCAGGAGACAAACACTGTTTCTAACATCTCTATTTCAAAAGGCCAAGAGCATTATTCAGGGTTTTGTAAAGGAATTCTACGAGGCCAAGAGGTGAGACAGAAAGAAAAGGTTGTAAACAACACCTGGACCTGGGCTTCTGAAGTGAAGAATAGAGCTTTTTCTTTCAGATACTTTCATATAATGACTTTCATTAAGTAGGAGTTTCCACGAAGGCACAAAGTACACTAAAGAGATTATTACCATCCATGTTTGCAGCATACCCACTGCTATTCACCAAAGTGGAATATGTTTTTTCATTTTGCGGCAAGACTCCTGCAGCCATAGTTGTCTGTTGGAAAATTGAAAAAAAGATTGTATTACTTAACTAATCATGCTAGACACCCGCTGCCCAGTATGGCAGTCACTATGTGGCCCTTTCTTCTCCTCCCCCTTCTCTGGATGACTGCACTCAGTGTTCTACCACTGAGCTGCCCCCCCCCCCAGATATGCTATTTGAAAACTTAGTACAAAGAAGGGTAAACTAAAGTTGGGCATGGTGGTGCACGCCTTTAATTCCAGCACTGGGGAGGCAGAGGCAGACATGTCTGTGAGTTTGAGGCCAGCCTGACTTCTGGAGTACTGTGAGTTCTAGGACAGTCATGGCTATATAGAGACCACCACATGTGACTTAACATGCACACATATGTACTCTCACATACAGCACACACATTACTTACACAGATACCAAAACAACTAAAGCAAATCTAGATAATGATATTGTATAGAAATTCTTGCATTTTATTTACAATTATTATAATGTTCAACTGCTAAAAAAAACCTTTTCTTTGTCACATTTAGATTTAATGCTTTATGTTCCTGAATTTAACTGAAAATTCACACAAAAATGAAAATGCAAAACTGCCCATATCTGATTTCTGCACCCTATTTTTCTACTCACAATCACATACTTGGGTGCATTTGATCCCTTGGGAAGAAAAAACACTCCAGCAGGGGAAAGGGAGTGCTTTTATTTTTTAGAATGGAATTATTTTCCATCATGGTGGCTTCCAAAGCACAGTCTCCATTCTTCACATGCTCAATATCTAGCTACATGTCTCTGGATATCATCATTGTTACATGTGTGGCTGAAACAGCACAGACTGGTGTCCTCAAAAGGGACACACACACGGGAGGCAGACAGGAGAGTCTCAAATCTGAGGATCTGAAGTGAGGCACTACCTCAAACTAGCAAATACCCCAACCAACCAACCAACCAACCAACACTCTTGGCTGCTATGTAGCACTACTAGCTGAGCTCGGGCCGGGACACAGCCTGGTGCTAGTGTGCTTGCCCAGCACACTGGAAGCTGGGTTCCAGCCTTCTCACTACTGCAAACAGCCTCCACCAAAACAAAACAAATAGTGCAGAAGAAAAGAAATTTTGACTTTGTTTTAATTAGTGTCTAATTACTTGAGTTACACTGCCAATTCTCACAGGTCTGAGAAACATAATAAAAAGTCAATTTGAGAAATAGAAGACTGCTCAGCCTATAGTACACCGTGCAGAACCCTCTCTCACCTCGTGACTGTCAATCTGCCCTTATTGGGAATCTGGTGCCTCGGTTTCACTCTTTAGAAATGCCAGCTTTCCTCTTTGCCCAAACATCTGTAACCCATCCCCTCCCCCTTTCCCCTTTTAAGTCCCTTCTCATCCACGTTCCTCAAGGAAATCCTGGATACTTTCCCAGCAGGTCTTGACTTTTTCTTATTAAAGGAGTTACCCGGACTCTTCTTTGAGACGTTTGTTGAGGCTGCTCCCCGGCCTTGACTTTGGGCTAGTTCAGATGCACCCTGCATGGCCAGAGGCCTTTCTTTCCACTCCAGCTGATGGAGCAGAGCCATTTGTGACAAGTTCCCTCCCATCCTGTATGCTCCTGGTCTCAGATGGTTTGTACAAAACAGTAATCAGCAAACTGCACTTCAGCAAAGCTCTGAGGACTTTCTGGGGTGGGGTCTCCCTCACCTCTGTCAGAGACCTTAGCTATGCAAATCCTAGCTACTTTGGCTCCATTGAGTCAGCCCTCTGTGCATCTCTGGGAAGGCCTGGTCCCCTCCCTAAGCCCAAATCTGGAAACTTCCCCCAGGGAGGCAGCTGATACAACCTTAAAATTGCCATGTTAACATCTCTTCTCTAAAAGACTGAAGCCATGGGCTGCCTGCTTTCCAAACATTTTTCATAAAGTTGTCTAAAACTTTAGTTAAGGTATGAAGATGCAACTGCCTTATTTATGTGTTAGGAGCAGAAATCTTACCACTCATCTCTGAAACTCAAATCTCAGATCTCTGAAACAATGTCTACTGTATGCTTCTTTGCATAGAAATGCATAATTGCTAATCAAAAACTCAATATTTAAATACATTATAAAGTCAAAGTTCCATGTTTAAATCTTAATTATTCAACTGCCATCTACATGAACTGGTTTGAGCTTTGATTTCTCTTGCAAAATGAAGATTATATATGCACTTTCATAGGTTGTAAGGAAGAGATTGTGTGTATGTGCATATGTAAAGCAATGCCTGACATAAAGCAAATGCTTGTTATTTTTCTTTGCAAATCAATACTGTAATTTTTTCCGTTCCCTTCCTAGACTATAGTCACTTCATTTTGCTTCTTACCTTAAAATAGTTTTTAAAAGATTCTCTGCATTAGCTGTCTGTCCTGTTAGTAGTTAGTAACAGCTGAGCTTCCTCCAGGAAGTCTTAAGAAAACATTAGCTCAATTCACAATTAATTTATTCATATGCCTAGCTGCAGAACAAGGAGAATTTCAATTTTAATCCTGGCATTTCACTGTGATCACACATTATGTAACTTCACTTCCTGACTCAATGACAAGTGTTTTGCTCACTCGATCCTACAGTTCTTTTATCCCTAAAATCCTCCCCTCCAAATGACTCAACTGTTTGGAATTAGTCACACATTTCACTAATTAGTACCTACTACTTAAAACTGGAGTACAGTGGTGAAATATCACTCACAGTTCAGGAGAACAGTCACGAAGTAATGTTCTACTTCATAATGAATTCACTTCACAGAGACTAGGTTGTGAGATCCTGAAGAACCTTAGCTCTCTCTCTTCTATTTTCTGGATGTAATGGTGTTTTGCATATTTCTTAGAGACACTTTGTGAGAGGGAGCATTGAGCAAGTGCTCTAAACTTTCCTTGATGTTCCCTGCTCAAGCACTCCACCTTGGGGATGCATCAGGATCACCCTGGGCACCTGTGAAGGGCAGATCCCTTCTTGTCCCCATTTCCAAAGTGCCTGAGTTCTGGAGGAGCACAATACTCATGTATTACTAATTTATACTCTCCGTCGTTCTGACGTGTGAGGTCTTGTGTCCAATCTTATGGGCAACACTGTCAGTATGGTAAGATTCTAGACAATAATCACAGATGCTCAAGAATGTGAATGAATTTATCCAAGCCATGTAAACATAATGGTGCATTCATAACATGATAATAACCAAATGATATTCGCTCACCCCATACAGAAACTATTCCAATTCCTTTATATATTTTTATCTCTCCAGCCCTGACAATGTTTTTAGAGCAGTTTCAGACACACAAAAATAGAGTTAAGGTAAGAGATTTTCTCATCTGCCCGCTGGGCCCTTTTCCACTTCCCAATTCTTTGTTGTTGTACATTCAATAGGTTTAGAAAAATCCACCCTTACAGTACCATACAAGGTAGTTTTCACTTTTAAAAATCCCCATATGCTCTTCCTATTCAACCATCCCTTTCCTAGCTTCTTGCAATCACTAAATTTCATAATACTCTTCAGTTTTGCCTTTTCTAAAAAGCTAGGCTCACACAGTAGAAAGCCTTTTCAATAGAGTCTTTCACTTATAAATAAATGTGCATTTAAGGTTCCTCCATTTATTTTCATGGTCTGATGACCCATTTGTTTTGATCATGGAGTAATGTATTACTTATCTTTCCATTGCTTTGATAAAACACCATGCCTAGGGCGACTTATAGAAGAGTTTGATTTATGGTTTCAGAGGGATAAAAAGTTCATGATGGCAGAGCTTAGACATGGCAGAAGAAGCAGGAAGCTTCTCACACCTTGAACCTCAGCAAAAAACAGAGAGAGAGAGAGAGAGAGAGAGAGAGAGAGAGAGAGAGAGA